AATGAATACAGGATGTTTTCCCATTTATTTAGGCCTTTAATCTCTTTCAATAAGTATTTGTATTCAGTGTACACATCTTTTTTTTTTTAAAGATTTTATGTATTTATTTGAGAGAGAGAGAGAAACAGCATGACAGGGGAGAGGGTCAGAGGGAGAAGCAGGCTCCCCGATGAGCAGGGAGCCCGATGTGGGACTCGATCCCGGGACCCTGGGATCATGACCTGAGCCGAAGGCAGATGCTTAATGACTGAGCCACCCAGGCGCCCCTCCTGTACACATCTTACACTTCTTTTGTTAAATTTATTCTTAAGTATTTAACTTTTTCATGCTTTTGTAAATGGAATATTCTCTCTCTCTCTTTTTAAAGATTTTATTTATTCATTTGAGACACAGAGATACAGAGAGAGAGCATGAGCAGTGGGAGAGGCAGAGGGAGAGGGAGAAGCCGACTACCTGCTGAGCCAGGAGCCCGACGTGGGGCTCCATCCCAGGACCCTGGGATCATTACCTGAGCTGAAGACAGATGCCCAACCATCTGAGCCACCCAGGTGCCCCCCCCTCTTTTTTTAAAGTAGGCTACACACCCAGTGTAGATCCCAACATGGGGCTTGAACTCATGACCCTGAGATCAAGAGTCAGATGCTTGGGGTGCCTGGATGGCTCAGTCAGTTAAACATCTGACTCTTGATTTCAGCTCAGGTCATGATCTCAGGGTTGTGAGATTGAGCCTCATGTCGGGGTCCATGCTCAGTGCTGAGTCTGCTTGTCCCTTCCTCTCCCTCTGATTGTTCTCTCTTTCTCAAATAAATAAACAAAAGATTTTTTTAAAAAAAGAGTCAGATGCTTAACCAACTGGGCTACCCAGGTGCCCCTGGAATTCTCTTTTAAATTTCATTATTGGATTGTCCATTGCTAGGGCATAGAAATACAATTGATTTTTATATATTGATATTGTATCCTGCAACCTTACTAAACTTGTTTATTAAATCTAATAAACAAGGTTTTTTTGGGTTTTTTGTAGATACTTTAGGATTTTCTATATACAAGATCATGTCATTTCTGAATAGGTAGGTATACCTTCATACTTTTTTCTTTCCAATCCAGATGCCTTTTATTTCTTTTTCTTGCCTGAGTGTGCAGGCTAGAATCTCAAATATAATACATATTGAAATTAAGTAGAAAGAGCAGAAATCCTTGTCTTATTTCTGATTCTGGGGGGAAAGTTTCAATCTTTCATCATTAAGTATGATGTTAGCTGTGGGATTTTATTTTTTATTTTTTTAAAGATTTTGTTTATTTATTTGAGAGAGAGAGAGAGAGATAGCAAGAGAGAGCACAAGCAGTGGGGGAGAGGGAAAAGTAGGCTCCCCATTGAGCTGGGAGCCTGACGTGGGGCTTGATCCCAGGACCTGGGAACCATGAACTGAGCCAAAGACAGATGCCTAACCAATTGAGCCACCCAGGCACCCCTGGGATTTTAGATAACCTTTATCAGGTTGAACAAGTTCCTCTGTATTCCTAGTTCATTGAGTGTTGTTATCATGATAGGGTATTGGATTTTATCAAATGCTTGTACTGCATCTATTGAGATGATTGTATGGATTTTGCCCTTTATTTTATTTATATGATGTATTATACTGATTGAATTTCATATGTTGAACCAACTTGGCATCCCTGAGATAAATCTCACTTGATCAGTGTATAATCATTTTTATGTATTGCTGGATTCAATTTGCTAGGATTTAGTTAGGGATTTCTGTGTCTCTAGTCATAAGAGATATTTGTGGTTGTCTTCTAATGTCTCTATGTGGTTTTGGTGTTACAATAATATTGGCTTCATAGAATGGCCTGGAAAGTGTTCCCTCCTCTTTTATTTTTTGGAAGAGTTTATCAAGGGTTGATGTTAATTCTTCTTTAAATGTGGTGGAATTCACCAGTGAAGTAATTTGGGCCTGGGCTTTTCTTTGTAGGAAGTTCTAAAATTACTAATTCAGTCTCTTTATTTGTTGTATATCTGTTTAGAGTTTCAATTTTTTTCTGCATCTGTGTCAAGCATGGATGTCTTTCTAGGAACTTGTCCATTTCATCCAAGTTATCTAATTTATTAGGCATATAGTTGTTTGTAGTATTCCTTATAATCATTTTTATTTCTCTAATGTAATTTCTGTAACATTTTTATAACTTGAACTTCTCACTTTTTTATTGGTAAGTCTACCTAAAGTTTCGTTAATTTTATTGATCTTTTCAACAAAAGAGGTTTTGTTGATTTTCTTTATTGTTTTTCTAGTTTTTATTCTACTTATTTTATCTAGTACTTATTATTTCCCTTTTTCTGCTTGATTTAGGTTTGGATTACTCCTCTTTTTCTACCTTCTTTAGGTGGAAAGTTAGGTTTTTGATTTGAGATATTTCTTTTTAATATAGGCACTTACAACTATACATTTCCTCCTAATCTTGCTACATCCCATAGAGTTTCCCTTTTCCCCTCTTGCAGCTAAGGCAAAGGCAACGTGATTTAACCTTGGTCATTTGGATGCTCCCATCAGGACTTTGAATCTTGAGCAAATAGTGTAAAAACACAGGGACAGAGCAGAATTCATTTAAGATGGCAGCATGCAATGATGATGGAGGTAGTGGTTCCTGCTGTGGTCCCCTTACCTAGACTGTTCCTCTGTTGTGACTTTGGCTGAGATTCCTGGTTCCATTTTCTGAGCTTAATTAGCTAGTCTGCCTATCAAACTGAGGATTACATGATAACCTTCCAGTATGTTTATTTCTTCTTTAAGTTGGCAGAGTTGGTTTCTCTTGCTGGAAACTAAGAATCTTGGCATACTGTTAAGATAAGAGTTGGGGAGAAAGAGAAAGCATAGGTCTTTCACTTTTCTCTTTGTAAAACTTTCTTTGTAAATTTCTGTGTTGCTAGTATTGTTGTATTACTTCTGTTATTTAAAAATATCCTTTTAAAATTGAGAACCTAAAGCACAGTGGGGTGAAGAGAAGTGGTAGGATACAAAATTTGAAACTTAGGATGAGGCCTGATTGTACAAAGCCTTGAATATTATTTTGAGGATTCCAAATTTAGCTCAGTAAATCTGGGGAATTTACAAAGTAGAACAACGATGACATGATCAGATCTATGTTTGTTTGTTTGTTTATTGCCATGTAGATGGATAAGAACTCAGAGAAATTAGAGGCCAGGAAAATAGTTAGGAGGAGGCTACTGCCATAGTCCACATGCAAGATTGAGAAAATCTTTCAATCTGGAGAGAGAGAGAGAGAAAGAAAGAAAAAAAGAAAGAAAGA